CTGCTTTTTCATGTGCTATCCTCCATGTGTTGACAATGATTTTCTATCTTGGAACAAGGGTACTACTGGTGTGTGAGTGTGTGTATGACTATTAAGCTTATTACTGTCTCGGCTATGTTCATATTCATGTATAGAAGTGAACTTATTTCGAGACGGAGAGAGTAACGCGGTGTTGTTACTAGTCCATGTGAGGAGAAAGAAAACAAAAGGAGGCACCACTTGTAGCTATCAGCTGCTTCTATGGCCAAGGAAAAGAAGGTGATGACTGAAGAGAGGGCAAGCAGGACTACCATGCACATTTGCTTTAGAATCTGTCATGTCTCATATTTTTCCTATTCCCTCAGCAGTGTATCAACCATGAGTGTAATCATTTGCAAAGAGTTTTCATCCCATCCTTCCATTGAGAGACCACTAGAGCAAATAAAAAGGTGACAAGCAGATACTGTTCTTTTGTCCTCTCACACTGACCACTTTGTCCCAGGCCCCACTTTCAGTCACCAAGATAGCTGCAGGTGCTTGCATCCATCACCACGCAATCGTCACATTTCCTTGTTTTCTTTCGCTTCAGATTCATTGGCTCGCGGCTAACTTCTCATCCAGGAATACCAAGGATTCCAAGTTCCCAACTGTTCTATATCTCACCACAGCTTTAGAGGTAAAAAAAATAAATTGATTGAAATAACTTAAACAAATTTTTTCTGACCCTTGAAAAGTTAGATATCTCGTAGGCTAAACTCCCTCTGTCACAATAAAAATGAATCTAGTACTGGATGTGACATATTCTAGTGTAATGAATCTGGACATAGGTTATGTGTCACATCTAATACTAGATTTGTTTTTTTATGGAATAAAGAGAGTATCTCCTAATTAACAATAAAAAAAACTACGCCTCTTGGATCATGAAAACTCAGGTATAGATACTGCGTGGTGAAATTTTAATCCTAGTTACTTCTGGAATTAGTTTTGGTACTTCTCTTTAAAGAGAGATATTTCCCAAGCGACGAGGAGCTATATGCCTCTCAAATAGGGAAGAAAACCTTTTGTCCTAGGTAGTCCAACATATAGGATTAATTAACATGGAATGCAATGTCCTAATCACATGGAATTTATAGGGACAATTCAATTTCCTCAAGAATATTGAAACAAACCCATGTTTTATGGGCAGGCCTTAGGACACCTTTCGAATTTGTAGAAGTTCTAATCATTCGAAGTTCCTATTCAAAATAATCCTAGCTCATCTTATAGTGGCACACAACAAACGACTAGAGAAGTATGAATTAAATGAGTGGCAGCTGCAGTTTAAACCTTGTTCGGGGAGCTTCTGTCAGCTATATTCTAAATCTCCAACTCTTCCAGATAGTCTAGATTCTCATAAGCTAGCAGACTATCGAGCTACTCTTGCATAATAGTCAACCACGTGTAAATATTTCCAAGAGTAAAAAACAATTGCGAAAAAGAGAAAAACTGAGTGGGATCAACCATTATGAACTGAGAATTACTCTATCAGTAACACTTTTTAGGCATAGAGTATCCAGGGTATACAAAACCATGCGGTTATCGTGGTTATCATGTACGGTAACTTTCTCAATTTTTAAAAACCATAGTATAACTCGTGGTAACCGTGATAACCATAGGGAACCATAGTTTGGTGAACGCTGAGTGTATCCTCTCCTATCCATTCATATTCGACTGGCCGGTCAAGAGATCAACCTAGAGGCAGCTAGCTAGAGTTGGTGTACACATTGTACAGTGGTAGACTTGGCATGCCCTAATTATGGGCACACACACATTGTGGTTGGTGCCTTCTCACAAGTTTTGCATGTTACGATCAATCTAATCTCTGCAGCCGGCCGCAAGCAGTGGTCCATTGGGATCGGGAGCGAGCCGTGATCGGTGAGTGTTAAATGAACTGAGACGCGAATTTGTTCCGAAAGAGACTGAGGAGTTAATTGTGAGATCAAGATGCAGCCGGTCTCTGGTGCCAAGAGATCATCCAGAGCATATTTTTAGTTATTAATCATAACCGAGGATATATTTGCCCAAAGCAAAGATTTGTCTTACGATAGCTATAGCTAGCTAGGGAGTACGAGATGCTCCTTGCCCACTTTCACGTTCATAAGAGAGATCAGGATCCTGGTTATTGGTGGTGGTGGTAGATTGTTTAAGTTGCAACTAATTTTGAAATTTACAACTTAATTTCAAAACAGACATACTGCTTATTGGATTATTGCCACGGATGATCTACTTAGATAAATCTAGTAGCTTAGAACATGTGGTATGAACAATATAATGTGGTAGAAAAGTTATTTTTTTAAAAAAAATGTATTTTTAGATGAGTTGAGCGGATATTCCATGGCAAAGATCCGACAAACTAGTTGAAAAGAATGGAACTAAGAAAAGAAATTCAGTCTCACGCTACATCGGTCACACGTCTTGAGCTTATTAACCGCATAAAAGAAGCCCTCCAAGCACACTATATGCGCCCGTGAAAAAATAAGTTGAAATGAACAAACAACGTAGGAGCAGGAAATTATGCGACCAGCACACAACTATAGTAATCTACCAAGGTCCAAATAATTCCGTTTAAAAAATATAGTAATAAAAAATATAGTAATCTAGGATGTGATCGATTAAACCAATCATAATACTATATCCTGATTCATAGTAGTAGCAATAGGATAGGTCTAATTTCATTCTAATTAAATTACTATATTTTGGAATGGAGTAACAATTTTAGACATTAGCACGTACAAACGTGTGGCAGTAATTACTTTTAATTGTCTAGGGGTAAAAAGTTTGCAAGGTGAAAGCAGAACCAGTTGTCAATGCCAAAGCAAGAATTTATAATTGTCTAAGAATTAATTAATTAATTGTAATTTCCGCCCATAATCTTGTCTAAAGAGTATCCCTCACACTGAACTCAAATAGTCCTATATAAAACTAGCAATGTGTAAATTATAGCATAAAATTCCCAGTGTTCGAAGAGGCACTTACCAGGATGCACATGCATTCAACGACAAATAGAGATATTGATTAACAACCTTAATTTAATTTATAAGCGTCGAGAACGAATAATATACTATATATGAAAATGCATGCAATCATTTCTGTTTGGCAGAATCTTCTCATTGACACAGTAGCATAAAGCTAGAAGCGGATTAGAATGACAGCCCAGGTTGCTTTCTTTGTGGAGCACGCAAGAATCTCAAATGGACTAACAGATACACCGCCGTAAAATGATGCAATGGGAACATATACTAGTACTGGTGTAAGCAACCGGCAACTGTCGAAGACATAAAAAATCAATATAGTTCAGCATATTGTATTTGACAAATGAGCTTTAAAATTGCATATATATATATATAGCTGGCAAATAGGTATTATATATTCTAGATATATGGGCCATTAATTTTTGGATGAATTACAGCATAAACGCAAAGGAGAACTACTACTACTAATCAGATTACTCTGATCATGTGTTTTTTAGACATACTACACATGAATCGAACATATATATGTATATATATACACTACTAACCAGATTAGTCTAATAACGTACAGGAGACTTAATGTGAGCCGAAATGAAGTCTACACCTTACACTCTCCGTCCAAAAAAATAAAAAATCTGACTATGAATCTAGACGAGCACCACTAGTAGTAAGTTTTACGGTTTCAAAAAAAACTAGTAGTAAGTTTTTATTTTTACTAGTGTTTCAGTGAATGAGCTTAACTACTTGTGTATCTTTGCCACATAAATACATGTACAATGTGCTTTGCGAAGTGATGATATATATTCAGTATGACAAGCTATAAATAACCATTCAGTACTAGCTAACAATACAGAATCAAACACATTACTATTAAATATCATGTCACCACCACTGATTGCAAAAAGAAAACATAAATGAAGATGATTAATAGGCAGTAGAAGAAAAGTTTACATATATTACCTAAACATGTCATATATATTTACCATGTGATATTTCTAAAATTTTGCAAAGCTTTGTTATGGATTCCTACATATACTTCAGGAAAAACCAATAACATCACATGTACAAAAACAAACAAGCTGGAAGCCCATTAAAAATTTATACAAGTTATATTATGTGATTTATTTGACCACAAACAATAGAATAACCGGGTAGTATTTTACCACCTCAACTATATATATTGTTTTTTGAAAGTAGACATTAATTATCGGCATTGTGAGATGAAGCATGAAATTGAATATTATTTCTTGTTAAAAACAGAAGAGCAGTACATTCCTTGCTAAAGTAGTGTAAAAAAAGTCATGCCTGAATAGGTTAATTCCCTGTGCAACAATAGTTACCAAACCCAGGCAATGTACGCTAGCAACCTAGGATGATGGACAAAAGGCCAAACAAATATATATTCGCTGCCTGATGTGATGGGATCAACGAGACAATGTTCATATGTCAGAGATCGATCGGATGAAGAACACGAGAATGTGCGAGTCATCATCTCACCCCCCTTGCAATTGTAAAACTCGGAAACAATAAAAAACCCATCACGAAATCAAGCAAGGGATCGGCGCATGGCTCGATCGGTCACGGCTCCCGACCAGATAGATGATCATTTGCTCCTTTCGTTTGTCTCCTCTCTCACTCACTCACTTTGTCTCTCTCTCCCATGAGCATACGATGACTGAATCTCTCTCTCTCTCTCTCTCTCTCTCATCTACAACTAGCTAGTAGTAATATAATCACAGGCATAAACAAACGCAAACACCCCAATTAACTTAAGACGATGCGATATCTAGGATCCACGAGCTACCAATTAAAGCCAACTAGGTTTCTAGGGCTCAGCTTTTCAAGAGAGCAAAGGTGCATGCTATAGTAAAGCGAAGGTGTCAACCTTATGGAAGCTAGTAGTACTCACATCTCACATATACTTCATGGTGTTAGTACTCACATACTACATGGAGTACAACATGGAGTAGTAAAAGCAAAGAAACCTTATTAGCCTTATTCTACATGGAGTATAGTACACCAATACCAAGAATTACTAGTATCAATTCAATCAAGCAGCAGGAATGATGGAAGAAGATGAACAGTGCACGGTGGAAATCATCAAGCTAAGCTTAAGCTAAAGAGAGAGGGTGCTTTCCCCCAAGCTCCTAACTGTTGGGAAGCTTCCAATCATTCTTGCTAGGAAACGAGTGTATTAATTGCTCATATCAAATGGCTCCCAAGAAGAGAAGCAAACAAGAGTCTAAAGGGTTCGCCTGCCTAATTTAAGCTAAGCTAGGCTCTAGAAGAAGACACATCAATTTATGCAACGAGATATCAAAGGGAGATCAGAAGCTAAGAATTCTCAAGAGATCGAGATCGACCAAAGCAATTGACAGTTGCAGCGAGTGAGAGATTGTAGTGGCGTTACAGCATGGCGGCGACGTTGGCCGGACGGCCGGCCGGCGACCGGAGTGGGCGCCGGTCACGGCCGCGGGTGGCCGTGGAAGAATGGCGTGCCGGCGGGGAACGCGCCGTAGGGCCCGGGCGTCGGGTACGGGTCCATCACCACAGCCGATGACACGATGATGTTGCCGCCGCCGCCGGAGCCTGCCTCGCCGGCCGCGGCGGTGCTCGGCGAGGACCCGTCGCCGGTGAGGCGGAAGTGGTACTCGCTGGCGCCGCCGCCGCCGGCGACCGCCAGGGCTTCGGGGCCGACGTCGTGCAGGATGCCCTTGAACACGTGGCCGCCGATGCTGACGGCCGTCTGGTACGCGACCTCCGCCTCGGCCTGGTCGACCGGCCCCAGCCGCACGCACCGGAACACCGCCTCCGAGCTCACCTCCCGCGGGAACCTCTCCGCCACCGTCACCATCTGCTGATCTCCTGCACACCCAGCAGATCGATCAACGCGGTTAGATACAGCGCGCGCGCCATGGCTAAGCTAAGCTCTAGTATATACCTGAGGAGGTCGTCGGGGTGGTGGCGGAGGGACGCGCGCGGGGGCGTTTGGTGGGGTCGCGAGATGGGCCGGCGCCGCCGGCGGTGGCGGCGGCGGAGGCGGCGAGCGCGGCGAGCTGCTGCTGGCGCTCGCGGCGCTTGGCGGCGGGGACCCAGGTGGACTTGACGTGGGTGGCGCAGGCGAAGCCCCGGCTCTTGCAGCAGGTGCGGCAGCGCATGTGGGTGCAGTCCTTCTTGGCCTGGTTGCCGCAGTCCTGGCAGCTGATGCCGCCGCCGCCGCCACCGCCCCCGCCGCCGCTCGACCGCATCCCGCGCGACGAGGACGAGGACGACGCCCCCGCCAACGACGGCGCCGGGGGCGCGTCATCGGCGAAGCGGATGATGTTGGAGGCGTAGAACGGCTGCTGCTCCTGCTGCTGCCATAGCTGGAAGCTCCCGCCCCTCGTGGCGTACAGGAACGAGGCGGCGTCGGCGGGGTGCACCGGCGGGACGGGCGGCGCCGGGTTGTCTCGGCTGTGGCTTCCTCCGCCTAGAGGGAACCCCGCCATGCGCCCAAATCCATAGGCGGCCGTACGTACCCCCGGCTAGGGAAGAAGAAGAAGAAGAAGAAGAAGAAGAAGAAGACGACGACCACGAAGCAGCAGCAGCAGATCAAGAACCGATCAAGAAACCGAAACCTCTCTCTCGATCGTGTAGACCACTAGCTAGTAGCTAGCACGCGCGGCCAGGAGGAGTTAATCCGCGGCGGCCGGATCAGCTCAGCTCAGCTCGCTGCGCTGCCGCGAGTTAAGACGGTGAGGCGACAGAGAGGCCCTGCCACGCCGCCATGGAGCCTGCGCTCACCTAAGCTTCCATTTATTGCCTTTGCCTCCTCTCTCTCTCTCTCTCGCTCTCGCTTCGTATCGCACCGAGAGGAAAAGAGATGTGTGTGTGTGCGCGTGAGTTGGAGAGGTAGCCAGCCACCAACACGCGCACACGGCAACGCGGCTGCTGCTGCTGCTGCGAGAGAGAGAAAGAGAGTCGAGGGGAAAAGGCAGGGTACAGTTGCCGGCTGCCTCACCCCTCTCTCTCTCTCTCTCTCTCGTTCTGAATACAGTTAGCTGGTTGGAATGTACTGTACTGTACTGTACTGCACTGCTACTAGCTGCATGCAGCATGCGACCCCGGGGTGGAGTTAATTGCCCGCGCCGTATGCATGCAGCGAGAGAGCATATGTTGGCGTGCTCCAGAATTCAGTTATTCCATGCCTCCCTTCCAACGCCATAGTCAGTGCGTAGTAATATTCAAAGCCAGCCAAGCTAGCCACGCCCATACGTATACGCGTCTTCGATCGCAGAAAAGATCCTGGAAAGGAAGAAGAAGATTTGTTTAGTTGACAGTGTGTCTGGTTCAGTCTCAACATGTCAATTCATCTCGAATCGTTGTCACCGACACCGCCGGATCGTTCGTGTGCGACGACGCGGCACGGAGCGGCGCGCGCCGGCCTGAGTAGCAGTCAAACACCGGAGAACACGGGAGCTTGCTCTTTTCTTTACTCCACGGTCATCCGCGCGCGGCTCCCCCCATCTCCCCCTGTTTCGCGCGGGTTTTCTGATGTTTCCCCCACCCAAAACGCTCGATTTCACCGTCATCCACCGTGCAAAACACCCACTTATTGTACTCGGTCATCACATCACGTCTCGGTTAATCGTGCGAATTAAAGGAGATATATATAGTGAGATACCAAGCCAATGCAGGAGTGGGGATATATTACGCGTGACGTAGCTGAAATCCATGTCGTGTTGGGGTCGATTGGATTAATTAGCAGGAAACAGTGGTGTGATGGATCGATTGACAGTGCAGTGGCGATCGAGTGGTCCAGTCCAAACCCCGGTTTGCAGGGGAGAAGGAATAGACCGGGAGGTATCGTATCTATCGTATATATGCACGTTTCAGTGGGACAAATCAACCGGATTATTTAGCATATATAGATACTGTTAAGACAGGTTCTGTGCTCTGTGTGTGTGTCTGTCTGTCTGTGGATCGTTGACAAGGCAGTTTTCTGCTGCTTTTTATTTTCTTTAACGGAAAGGGGGGGCCCAATTAAAGGGTCTCTCAGCTGTGTTTCGATCATCTGCCTTTAATTAAGCAGCTGATTGATTGCATGCCCCCGTGACAGGGAGATAATTAAGGGCAACTAGCTAGCAGTGTACTGTACTGGACGTGCGAGTGACAGCAGTTGGTGAGTGGTGACCGCAAACTACACGCCGGAGTGGCACTCTGTCATTTTCCCATGGGGGCACATACGCTGGGTACACACTACAGGACCATCCTCGTTGGGGCTACTCTACGGTGAAAAAACCACCGTGAGACATTGGAGTGAAATATTATATAGATATATAATCATAGAATTCTTACCACGCAGTAATATATATCATAAGTCAAAATGTAGTTTTATTACTGATCGTTATTTTTAAATCGGTGCCACTAATTTTTATCAACATCGATTTGTTACGCTCCATAAAATCTAAATTTAAGTATATGTTAGGATTATTTTCACGCTAGTTGGTTGCTTGTTTATTAAACAAATGGGTTATCTTTATGTCTCACTGTTTGGTTGAATGCCTAGAAAGATAGATTCAAGTCATCATTTGGGGTTATGACCTATCACCAATGGTGATCTTCAGTATACAAAACAATAAAACCTTCCACCGGTGCACCATGAATACATATCTTAGGGCAAGGGCAATAGAGGAGCCGACTGCTTACTATAATCCATGTACACGTCATTTAGAAACAACTTAACATATGATAAGTACAATGCTTGTCTCTTCACATCTAGCGCAACATTTATATCATCATCGCTTAATTATTTTTTCTCTCACCACTTTCCCGCTTTTCTCTTTCATCCAAGCCAATCAGCCAAACCCATTCACACTAATTTCTTTTTCAGTCGACGGAACCGTCGATATATATGAAGGCGCTAAGCCAACGATAGGAGCATTGGACCAATGACGTATCTCTCTCATAGTACTCTCTCTCCGCCAGCTAGGTATAAAATCCAATGTAAGCTTACTGCTCCCTCCTTCTTAAATTGATCATGATATAATGGAATTCAAAATTTTTCAAATTGATCATCATATAACCACATGGACACAGATTTCATCAGAATACAACTAATGCAACATTGGAGAAAGTGTGCATGCTAAGGTGTAATTGGCATGGTGTTTTTAATTGATGCATGCCTTGTGGGAGAATGTGTGCATGGTGTCTCGATTGATACAATTTAAATTATCCTTGGTCTTGGTGCATAAATATATATGATGATCAATTTGGGAAGGGGGAGTATTAGACGGTGATTTATTGTTATTGTACTTGCCCTTATGAAAGGTCTTTTTGGTAGAGCTCCAACTCCAAATTTAGCTCAAGGAGTTGGATCTACAGTGGATATAGTTGTGGATCTGCCTAAACCCAGCACCACCTCTCTAGTTCATTTTGTGATAGAGCTGCACCCAGTTTCGCTCCCATTTTTGGTGAAACTGAAACTGTTTGGCTGAGCTCCAGCTCTAAAAGAGGTGGAGTTGGTGCTGGAGCTGTGCTAAACAGGCCCGGAGCTTCATCATGTATCCCTTCGCACACTTTTCATGGGGTATTTATTTATTATTTAATTTTTCAAATCTAATACTAATATCAACTTCTATTTTTATATCGGTAGTAAGATATGTTTTTCTGCTTAACATAATGTTTTTTTCCTATAGCTAGATTTGTTAGTACGTTCACTCACTTGTATAATGATATCAACTCAATAAGCTAATTATGAATAAAACCACTTTGGCTTTTTCATAGTGAGCCATCTTGCTAAGTCATTCGATTTACGAATGCATTTCTAACTTAATCCCATTAAATCGATAATATGAATTTGATTATATTACACGTATATCAAATATAAGAGTTATTTATCCATGCAATAGTATAAGAGGGAAAAATCTTTATTTTGGGACGAATACAGTAGTTGAAAATCTACAATCAAACCAATCATGAAAAGCAACCGAAAGAACCTCATCAACTAATCAACCACTTGACACTCACGATTAGCAACTGAAAATATCTCATATAGTACTAATCAATTAGTTGTCAGGGCTAATTTAGTTTCTTGTAGTTTGACATTTGACAACCGCAGTTTGAGAACACTTGGCAGCTAACCTTGTGAGATCTAGCACACATGCAGGATGGTCGAATTTCACCCTCATTCCCCACCAAAGCTGCGGTTGTTTCTGTAGAGATCCGAGATTGGCCCGGATGTTGGCATGCAGCAGCAGGATGGAGGGAGATGGGAGGAGATTCAAGCCCCCCTGCCATTTTAGCAAAATGCTTGGAGTAGCAGTAGCGTATAAAGAGGGGGGCCACTGAGCCATTCACTGCGCGTGCCGATCCTGACCGGTTTTCTGAACACTGTGCTGGACCCCGGATCACTGTAGCACCGATCGCCCATGGGATCGTTTAATGGGGATCCCGATCGAGAACAGGATCGGCACGACGTACACTGCGCACACACTCATCGAAACGACAAGCGTTGATCGTTTGATCGATGGTGGCATTGAAGGTTTCGCCGGCCTGAGCATGCACGTAGTACGTTACGTCCGTCGTCAGAGAGGGGAACTCCATTATTTATTTCCTACTCTATCGTCTCCGATCTGAACCAGAACCAGACCAAACTTCATTCTCGAGTCAGAGACCGGAGTAGGCGAAGGCCGGTGCAGTGCATGCAGAGCCCCCAGACTGCTCAGGGCTTTTACACCCATACTACTCCATACACACACACAAAAAAAATGTTACCACAATGAAGTTCCGGTTTGTTCGGTGAATTGTGGCAAGGCAGCGTGTTACTAGTACCGTGTTACCGTAACGGGAGGCAAGCACTGTGGAGAGCGTCATGTACGTAGTGGGAGGGACGTGGTGGTGCAAGGCAACAAGAGTGTGTGGGTTTTTTTTTTTTACAGAGAGAAGAGAGAGTTGTTCTTTTCCAGGACCAGCAAGGGCAAAGGCAAAGGCATGCAGCGGCAGTGCATTGAAGGAGGGGGAGGAGGGGGAAGAGATCGACGCAGAAAAAGTTGGGAACAGGATCCGAAGGGCGCCGCTGCAGTGCCTGCCTGCCGAGAAAGTCCGGGCCCCAATAATGAAGCGAAGCCTGCCTGCCGCTGCCTCTGCCTGCTGCTGCTGCTGTGTGTGCTCCTCGAGCCGTGCGCCCGCTGCTGCGCCTGCCCCTGTACTCCACGTACCCGCGCGAGCCGAGTTGACCCGCTTCCCTTGCCTCCCCCGCTGTGCCACGTCCCCCCGGTCTCTTCCTGTCTGTGGGCCCTCCTCTCCCTCGCCCCCCACGTCCCGTCGTCCGCGGCCATGCCGGGATGCGCGCGCCCCGCGGACACGGAGACGCAGCGCGCGCCGTCGCCCTCGTCGCGGCTGATCTCCTCTCGGCCTCTCGGCCTCTCGGCTTCGCTCGCTCTCACGGGCCCAACATACGTGCGTCGTCGCGCGCACAGTGCGTACGTACGTGCGGCGTGCGCGGCCGCGGCTGCAGTGCAGCAACACCACCACCAGCAGCCGTCGGGACGTGTGCCCGGATTTACGGTGAAAGCAACGGACGCCGCCGTCCCGCGCGACGTCCACCACGACACGCCACCGCGACGCGGACACGTACTACTACTCCTCCTGCAACTGTAACGACGACGACTGCTGCTGCTGCGTGCCGCTGTTTTTCACGTGCCGTACGTGCGGCGCCGCGCGCGGGAAAAAGCGATGCGATGCCGATGCGAGACGCTTTGCATTGCACGTGAACAGTGGTTTTAGCGTAGGTGCACTGCGCGTATAGTGTAGAGAGGGAATTGATTTTTTGGCCCTAGCAGCGTGTGTCCTTTTTATAAAGCGGAAACAGTACTAATGCTGCTAGTAGTACATGGGTAGGGTTCCATAACAATAACATGGCCATGTCTCCACGGAGGAGGAGGGGATCTCTCTGCATCAAACAACAACGTTGTCGCCACACACAATTCCATTCCCATTCCATTCCATTCATCGGAA